CGGAAATAATCAATTGCTACCACCATTAATCGTTAGGAAACATTGGATTGTGAAGCTGAAAAAAACCCAACAGACAAACAATCTAAAAGCAACAGTTAAATGAACTATTTGTTTTTGTCTTTAATTTCCATTCTGTGTAAAACAGAAGCTGGCTGTGACATTTGTAAGGTTTCAGAACAAACGTCACCAGTTTGTAAATTCGGTTCAGTGGGAGGCCAGATTTCATCATCTTATCTTACGCGTATTAACGTAACTGATCTTAGCTTGACATGAAATCCTGGTGGCAACAGCACAGCATAACAATGGCTTCTCTCCCAGTACAGTACCATGAGGTCACATTAATCTGGCCCGACTTCGTCCATATATATACAGTTTATGACCTATAGAAACGGGCCTTAACAGGGTCATATATAAATCAACCTTCTGTAGCCTCCGGACATGCTGTCAATTAACTCTACCAAAATCAGACCGGTCAAGTACCGTACCAATCCTGTAATCCCATTTCTTTTCCCTGTAGTCCAGTATTTTCTTGCTGTTTTCATAAATAACACATGCAGACATTATTGACAGGACCTACGTTTAGTAAACCAGGCCTAAAGAATTGGCTCTTTATTGAAAATTAAGCGTAAAAATAGCGGTGAAATTAACCGTCAGTCTGAGACTGTTTGAGGACATGGGGCGGATAGGTTGGAAATAAATGATAGAATTAAACTTGTATTTACTGTCACTGATCCGCAATGGTCATCCAGCGTGAAACGATGCCAGCGGCCATTGATTCTGTGTCTAATGGACTGCAATGTGTGTTGGAAAGGATATATCACGCAGTTAGTCATCCACACAGCCATATCGAGACCAGGTTTTCTGTAGTGAACATGGTCACAGGTCTTCACATGCTGGTCCCCAGTGCCAATGTGGTGTAGCTAACGTCAGGTTGCAGCCGTGCTGGCCAAGTGGTTAAGGCCAGCGCTTTGACATTCTGCTACCAATAGCCCTCGACCGCTGGGTCACGGGTTCGAGACCTATGTGGAGCAGTCGCTATAGGTAATGGTCGTAGGTCAGTGGTTTTTCTCTGGAAACTCCAGCTATATTTCCTCCACCACCAAAACTAGTGGCATGTCCTTAAATGAACATACCTGTAATAATAGAACGTAAAATACAAACAAACCAAACCAATCTTAATGTCATGTCTTTTTTAGGGGTTTTGTGTGAGTAAGTTCACCCTTTCACCCCTATGTAATTTTAGTAGACTCTACCATGCATTGATCTGGATGAGTCCATTATGGTTTACAGTGGTTAAAAGGGTTAAGGATCCCTTTCCCACTGCACTGTGGTTTTTCATATATATATAAAGTTTAGTCTCCCCTAAACTTCTATTTGGATATGACTGTAGCACAGTTCAGTCTTTAGACACTTCTGTAGAGCAGGTACTGGTACCTTTATCGGTTAGAGGGATAGTTTACCAATCTGAAGACGGTCATTCGAATCGTGGTCTAGCAACGCAGAAGTTTTACATTCAGATTTTCTATGGGATCATATTTTATTCATTTTCATCATTTCCCATAAAGCTGTATTCAAGCCAGAAAAGACAGTTTCCTATACTTAGTTACAGATTTTGGCAGTGGTATGGGAGTCCTTAACCCTTTCACCACTGTAGACCATAATGGACTCATCAATATCAATGCATGGTAGAATCTACTAAAGTTAGATAGGGGTGAAAAGATTAATGATGAAATGCACAGATTTGAAACCTTAAATTCCTTTTTGGTATATGCAGTAAAACCTGCTTATAATGACCACTGTCATGAAGAGACCACCGCTGTGTTAAGAGGCCTGCACTAATTAACGTTCTTGATATATTATAGTGATCTAATTGCCAACTGAACCTGTATGTAGAGACTGCATACATCAACTGATCATTTACCCCTACATATCTAAAGTGGACTTGGCCAGTCTTTCATTTGGTAAGGTTCAATTGTGACTCTAGGGGTGAGTGAGTTGGTTAATTAAAGAGACCACTTTTCGGTTTTCCTGAGGATGGTACGTCTCATGATAGCAGTTTGGCTTTTTATTAACAAAAAATGTTTTCTTTTCTTGGTAAATGTATTCAGAGTTTAAAAGTTTAAAGATTTTCAATGAAATTAGAAAGAAAAACACATTTGTAGCCAGTTCTTCCAGTATGTGCCGTACGTATGTAACTTCCATTATTTGCACTCCGTATTGATATCCTCTACATGTGAGAACTATACCAGTATAGTCACGCTGTACTTGACTCCCTTGGGACCCAGTAAACGATTGACCCAACCATGCCTTGTGTGTAGTTCCCTAAATTATGGATAACTATAAAACATGTTTTTCTCTTGTATTCTTTTGGCAACAACATGCAAATGGATTTTTTGTGAAAATAAATAACTTGGTTCTCAAGCACTGTGTGTAAAGTGCCTGCGGTACTCTACTACTTGGGTCATCATTCGTGAAGGATTCGTCGATCGGAATTGACACTTAAAAAAAATAAGGAAAATATAAACATTTAGTTCAATATTTCTGCATGAGTACTGTAATAGAACCAATAAATATCGCTATGCATATTCACCGACAGTCCTTCAGGGACGGTGAAACTGTGAATAACTGAAGCCTGTCACATCATCCAGAGTAAAGCTGAAATGTTTCCAATTCAAACGCACTTAAAATTTCCAGAGAGTGCACACCATTTTCTCAATTAAAGCTCCGTGTTATTATAGACATCTGCTTTCAGGTTCCTCCGAACTAAATGTAGGGTTCGTCAACGAAGCCGTTACAGCGATTCTCATCATTTAAAGAATGAAATATGATTTGTGTATGTTCTTGCATTCTCAGAAAAATGAGTTTACGTGTTTGATATATGCTATTGTTCTCAAAACTAATCGCTATAGATTGAAGTTGCTCGAAATAATTGTACAGTCCTGAAATGTCAAACCCATTCAGTACAGCATCCCAGTGCTTTCGTTCTGTGACAATCCATTATTTCAGACCCATCAGTAATCCACTTGGGGACTGCTATGTTTGTTTCCAATAGAAACGGCACATACATTTTGTATCTTGTTTTGTATTATGTAACTGATCCTGATGGTTCCAAATGAAATATTTTTGTCCTTTCTATGTTTTGGACCCAGTAGAAGATTTGTTTTATCTACGACACATATCTATAGGTTCTTAAAGCTGATCAATAAACTGTTTTTTTTATTTACTTACAGAAACTTGTTTTTACAAGGGTTTGTCACATTTTACCTTTACCATAGCATATATGTGTTTCTACCACAATACGCTGTGTTATTCCACTCTCAGATCATTTTATAAACACGCAGACTGTTAGATAAATATGAGTTATATACCACACGTGATATATGACCTGCAAGAGTTTTGATTGGTCGAGAAGATGAACTTTGACCGGGACGACTTTTTCCACTTGCTTTTTGCCACATGCTGTTTTGTTTACGTCGTCTGCTATCAACATCCGACAAATGTTGGTGACTTTGTGAGGTTATGCGGAAAAGGGGGTTATTAAGGCAATATTAAAAGAAGATGATACTTAAAGATTTGATCGTTAGTTTCAGGCATAATTGCTACAAACGATCGGTATCGTTTCGACGTCACACCGTCGCAAGTCCAGGTCGTGAAACCAAAACAAATTAAGATCTGTCACAGTGTCGGAAAATATTTCGTTCTCCCAACGTCCCGTTATCGATATTTGGACGGCCTGACTATGGCTGAACTTTCACTATAAACGTCAACCATAGAACCGTCAAGAAGAAACGTAGGCCTATGGTTTTGGACATTGACAGCGATAAGTTCGTCACTTAGCGGGAGGCAGACTTCGTACGATATGCTTACGCGCATATAGTCCGTGGTTAATTTATATAAATCAGTGAAATACGGCTACTCACAATATTTAAAGTCGTTCATCTATTATATTTTTTCATGAAGTTGCTGTCGAAACATTAATTTTGACAATTATTGAATTCGTAAAAAAGAAGTTGTTTTTGAATATTAATGAGTGACTTTTTACATATGGGTCATATCACTATGCCAGCCTTGTCAACAAATACTCGTGTGTATGTTATTTCCGACTGATCATGAGATTGTGGTAGAAACAGATCACACGACTCGTGGTTGTTGAGTATGGGATTTTTTTCACTCTCGTTTGTTTATTTTTAAAAGTTACAGAAAGACACTCGCTAAAGCTCATGTCTTTTGTAACTTTTGAAAATTAACTAACTCGAGTGAAATAAATACCATATTCAACAACCACTCGTTGTGTAACCTCTATTTATCGGCTCATGAACATTTGTTATTTACTTACAGAAACCTGTTTTTCATGGGTTTGACGCATTTTACCTTTACCAGAGCATATAAGTGTTCATCAGCTCATGAACATTTGTTATTCACTTACAGAAACCTGTTGTTTCATGGGTTTGTCGCATTGTACCATTACCAGAGCATATATGTACGAGTGTTCATCATCAGGCTTAGGGTTCATAAACATGAAACTTTGTTATTTACTTACAGAAACCTATTTTCTCATGGGTTTGTCTCATTTTAACTTTAACAGAGCATACATTCATGGGCTCATAAACATTTATTATTGATTCTCTCATGTTTAGAAATACCTGTAGTTCATGAGCTAATAAATTAACCTTTGTTTTATGTTTGGAAATGCTTGATTGTACCTTTATACATTTGCCCTGTCAAACTTTTGTGTTTATATAGTGACTAAATGTATTATGTTTTGTCTTAATTTTGGCTGTAAGGAGAAATTTGCCTTTTTTATGGGGGCGAAAAATGGCGAAAGGTAAACAGCTTGCGAAAAATACTGGTAACTTTGGGCTATAATAAACTTTCATATACTTGTGAAACAGAAAGAGAGTAAGTGAGTGTGCTTCCACTGGGGATCGAACCTGTGATCCCAGACTTGTCAATTCATTGGCTAATAACTATGTTTATGCTATAATTTGTTCTATTTACAGATACCTGTACTGGGCTGACCAGTGGAATGGCCGAATTGAACGGACCAGGCTTAACGGGAAAGGGCGAGAGGTGGTGGTCAACAAAGGTGTTTACTGGTCAAATCAACTGGCACTCAGTATGGTATTTAGGTAAGTGGATATTTGGAGAAAACTTTCCTGAATATGTAAATACTATTAGAAGGATGGGATTAAATCTAGGATAAGAAGATTACAGCATCCCTGTAAAAGGAGAGGGAAATGCAAAGGAGCAAGACCAGGAATCCTGCATCCGGGGATCTCTGAACTCTAGATGTGTAACAGGAGAAGGAGAAATGCAGGGCCAGACCAGGGTTCGAACCTGTGACCCTCCAGACTCTTAAACAGACGCTCAAACCAATTGAGTTACCTGGTCTCTGGCGATCGACCCAGTCCAGTTCCGCTACATTCCTCCCTCCATATAAACAAACTCTCTGACCCTAAAGACACTTGAGACCCTAAACCATCTTGTTTTGGGTATATTTTGTTGGGCACCAAATTAGTTACAGGGGAAAGAAAAATGCACAGCCAGACTAGAGTTCGAACCCGGGACCGACAGAACTCTAGACGGAAGCTCTAACCAATTGTCTTTGGCAATCCAACCAGTCCAGTTCCGGTACAGATGGAATTGCTGTTACCGATTGAAATAGTAGACAAATATCATGTTTTCTCCTCAAAGGAAGCTGAAACCATAAAGGACAATTTTAAATGCATTGATTTCTCCCAAAGGAAGATGTAACTTGAAATATTGATATAATGATTTCTCCCCGCAGGAAGTTATACTGTGAAAGACCATATTCATATAGTGATTTCTCCCCACAGGAAGCTGTACTGGGTGGAGGCCACCACTTCAAGTGGCATCATGTCTTGTAATCTCGATGGCACAGGTATCAAGAAGGAGCGTGACCTCTTCAACATAACCTCTGGTAACCCCAGCTTTGGACTGGTCGTCATCGGAAACAAGGCCATTGTTAGCACCTGGTACAACAATGCCATTTTCTCAACTCTGGTCGGCACACCAGTATCTCGCTGGAACACAGAAGTTTCTCACTTGGGCACAGGAAAGCTCTACAGCCTCGCATCTCTCGACCGCTCGACCCAACCTGCATGTAAGTTGTTACTTATTTCAGTTCAACCTTTATAGGGCACTCTAAGCTTGGAAATGAGAATTACAATGAGAAAATCTTCCTATTCATTCATCATCTATCCCTCCATACAGGTTCAGTACAATCTACATTTCCACTGCAAGTTCCTCTATGAGCATTACCAGAAGAAATTGCATTCATAGAGCCATGAACACAATTTGATCAGTGTCATTTAGAAGCTTCTCCTCCTTCCTCGATTAACATGAGATAACCATTAAAATCAAACATTTTGGTGACATAAGCTGTTTCAGGAATCTTGTTTCCACTGATGACACAGGCACCTTTATTAAGAGAATATCTATATTCAGGTCAAGTATGACTGAAAATTTAGAATGTAAATATATTTAGGATTAAATGGCAATTTTTCAATATTCATTTCAGTATGAATGCAAATCAGTTACATAAGTATTGACCACGAAGCCTGCTAATAATAGATGTGTGTTCATACTGACATGAAATTGAAAAAATGCTGTCAAACCCTCATATGAAGACCAACTATTGATATTTTGTAGCCGTATTGAGCTATAGTTTGAAAGGTTTCATTTATCAGTAAAAATAAGGCAAACTGGTATTAAAAACAGTCTCTATGATAATGATGACTATGGAGAGCTTGCATTAAATTGTTCATTGCTGTAGAATTTCGACTTGTTTGATGTCATTTGTGATCAATTTAATGGCAAACACTTCTTATGAATGTTGCTTTGTGTCTGTCTCTTTAAGGAAAGGAAAATCAGACAAAAAATAGCTCAAAAGAGATTTCTCAGATAGGTTTGCACATCTATAGCCATATATGTCCTGCAATAAACCATGAGCGTCGACACATATTCTTGACTCAAAGTAAGTTGATAGGCTTATTACAGGGCAATCAGATATCATCTGGTGGCATTTCCACTGAACTTCAGTAAACGTGGGTGGGCTTATTACCAGGCATGGGCTTATTGCTGGATAAATATCATGTAGGTCTTTTATCAGCTATAAAGCTCAATCGACAACTTGTACTGAACTAGCTGTACGTGTCTGTAACTATGTCATTACGACTATAAAGAGGCGATGGATTGTGTCGGTGCCGACAACCAATCAAGGTTATTGTCTCTCGCACCATCTGCCCTGATTGGTTGTTGGTGTCGATGTTACGGAAGTCTCGAGGCCAACAGTAAACCATGTGTGATGTACAGACTTGCTGTATCAGTCCTCTGACGTGTTGGAAATGTTGAAACATTTCAATTTCGAAGTGTGAATCAAACTGATGTTAACAAGTTTTTGAATCGTACTTAGAATACAATTAGACAAGTTCAAAGATCAGCGGTGGTTCTGATTGAAAGATATTTTTTTTTGAAGAAACCCAATTAAAGTTTTGAAAATGATAGCTCTGTGATCTGATTTCCCAATGGAGAATTATTATTGGTGGTGTTCGTTTCAGCAAAGTTCATGTGTAGAATTGCAATGCCAAGACATGAAACGTTAATAAATGTCAAGTTTAAGAACATACAACTCAGCAATATACATATATATATATTATATACAAGTGTATAACAAAAAAGAATTAAATGTCCATGCGAAGTAAGTAAATATATAGAAAAAAATAAGATCTAACCACTGACAAAAAAACAAGCTGCTTTCACCCATCACAGGGATCTTCAGGTTTATTTCAAAAGGACAACGTCGTGACATCACAATTTCATGTCATCACACTACAATAGTAACATGGGATTGGTGGACAAACTAGTGCAAAATTTTACTGTGGCCTGTTGAGACTTGGTTTTAAGACTTAAGTTTGTAAGGTAGGGAGCAGGGTATAGGTTAAATGGCTAACTTTTTAAATATATCTGAGGATAATGACATTGAACACACATGCACAATCCATCTCATCACAAAGAGGCCATGTTTAAGGGGAGATAACTCTTGGAGGCTGATTGTAAAGGGCAGATAAAAATACAAAGCATTATAGCAGATAGGCTACCTCAGTAAGGGGAGACAATAATTTATTTTATTGCACAGAGGTCATATGTAAAGGGAGATAATACTGTATAGTGCGTCAAGGCAGAGACATCACCTGGGCAAAATCATGTGGTTATGGCAGAGATGTCACTATTTAACTCATTCACCCCTAAAGTCACATTTGAACCTTACCAAATCAAAGACTGGGCAAGTCCATTTTAAAATGTAGGGTTAATGAGTTAAAGGGAAGACAAACTACCAGTGTTGAATTATTAAGGCAGAGTAAGGTAAGACAAACTCTATTGTATAACATTTGAGGGTCATTTGTAAGGGGAGACAACACTAGTAGTGTGGTTGAGGCCCCCAATGTAATACAAAAAATATCATGGCAGAGAGGTCACCTGTAAATTGCGACAACCTTGTTGTTTCATGGCAGACATATAGTCACTTATAAGGGGTGAAATTTCTTCCGTTTTGTAATGCATAAGACACCTTTAACTCATTCAACCCTGAAGACACATTTAAACTCTTCCAATTCAAAGGTTGGAGTAGTTCATTATGAAATATCAGGGGTGAATGAGTTAAGGTTAGACAACTCTTCTGTTTCATGGCAGAAAGGGCACTTATAAGAGAACACTTGTATTATGCAAGTGTTGTCAGACAAAAATGTCAGCCTAGGTCAAAAAAAGAATACTTCTAACTTTATTTTGTATCAATAATTTTAGATATTGGAGAGAGCAACAAAAATATTTGTCAATTATTAAGCAGTACATTGGAATAACATGCAGATATGTTTTATATATAAATATGTTTTGTAATACAAGGGAGGATATACATGGTTTTGTGTAATACAACATTATATTTGTCTAGACAACCACCCCTGTGGCCACAGAGACCGGGGAGGTTGTTCCCACCTGTGCCTGCCCTCGGGGTGGGGCACCGCATATGACTGTGGCTGTCCGTCCTTTTCTGGCCTCGCACTTGACACGGACAAAGCTACCTGTTCAGGTAAGTATCATTGCTGCTCAAGTACATATTGTAATTAAGATGCATTTTGGATAAATTTTATTTTACTTGGCTGACTGCTCATGTAAATATTGCTGAAATAAATCTTTCTGCTTAGATAAGTATTCCATATAAGAAACGATAATATATCTGCATAATGAAAATATTCCTGTTCATGGCCCATATTGATGCTCAAACTCAGATTTTCTGCTCCAGCATAATATTTTGTTCTGGCTTTGAATTAATAAATAATATAAATTCACATTTTGTCAATGATTTGGAAAAGTTTTGAGGGGGACTGCAAGCTGAACGGCATTTTACAAGTTTACATGATTTAAGGTGGTTGAGCACAGAGTCCATGCTTGAGCATAAAAATGGTTTCATGAATACGAGTCCAGGGCCCGTATTCATGAAACCACTCTTGCTTGAAAACCCAGTTTCTTGTTCAGGTAATTTATTTAATTTAAAAAATCACATTTTGTCAATATTTTTGGAAGAATTATTGAGAGACTCAAGCCACATTCTGTTTTAATTGTTAATATTTGCAAGGCAGCTATCTGAGTGTGTCGCATGATTTGAGCGAGTTATAAGAAAGTTAGTTTGAGCTTAGAATTCATACTTGAGCATGAGAACAGTTTTATGAATACACGCTCAGATGTTGCTTTTGATCACTGCAGGAGAAATCAATATATATATCAAATGTGATCAATAAATATATGTGGTGTCTGATATCTTTTTTCTATGGTCATACACAGAACCTGACGAGCTGATGTTGTATACATTCCAAGAACTAGGGGAGGTGGGATTCACAAATCCAGTTCCTTCAGACATTCCACAGACAAATATTCTAGGGCAGAGTCACAGCCCGAACTCTGTCACTTACGATCCTCTACAACAGGTGAGTATCACAACCTAAACCTAACACCTATTACCCTCTTCAGTAATAGGAAGGGTGTAGTGAAAAGAATATGTGTGTTTGCTGGGGATCTATCCCATGACCCTGCAGGTCGAGGATCGAGAAAAGAATACACCTGCTGTTACCCACTGCATGTATCGTAAGAGGCGGCTTAAGTGTGAACGCCCTGCTTTTGCCTCCTCTGCTTGGGGACACACAAAAAAAGACCAAAATAAATCTTCTGCACTCATAACAACATTTGGGATCTTTATCTAACTTCTACTTCTTACTACCTTTTATATCCTAGCGCCTTGCTTGAAAATACCTCACTTCTGGCTTAAATGTTGAGCGTTCGCCCAGGTGAGGAAGTCAATGGGTTCTGTCCCCAGGCCGGGACATACCAAAGTCCTTAAAAATGGTAGTTGTTATTCCCTGCTTAATGTTCAGCATTAAGGATAATAATAACAACTGGCTCACCCGTTGTCAGTATAATGTGACCGGTTGGAATGCTGTACTGGGTGCCTTTGACATGGTATTTTGGTGAGATAGCACTATAAAGTCGGCATTAGATCAGCGTTATAACAAGGAGGCAAGTACCCCAACATACCCTGTCTCCTGCACACATACACGTATATATACACACGTGCACGCTTACACAACACACATGGAGGCACGTCCTTAAATGACCTTGGATGTTTATAGGACTTTAAACCAAATCAAACCAAACCAAACTGTCCCATGACCCCAGACTTATTTAGTGAAGGCTGTACCACTAAGCTCAAGAAAACGTCCCTCTTGCCTAATCTAGTGTTGCGGAATTGGACTGGGTCAATTGTTGGCGACCAGGTAGCTCGGGTGGTAGTGGTCATCTTGAGTTAGGAGAGTCCCTGGGGTTCGAACCCCAGTCTGACTGTCCTTTATCTCTTTCCTGTTAGTTACAATGGTGCCTGTGACCAACCATTGATCCATGAACTAGGCATATACTCAAAAGGAGAAACCCGAGCCTGGGTTGTAATTGGTGTTGTCTTCAGGGGCAAAAAATAAATATAAAAGGAGGGAGGAATGTAGAAGAACTAGACTGGGTCGATCGTCTGCAACCAGTTGACTCTGTTGGTAGAACATCTGTTTGGGGTTTGGCATACTAATTGCCAACCCTCCCTATTTAGGAGGGAGACTCCCGATTTTGGACCATTAAATTTGGCATTTTCAACTAATGAATTTGCTGAACTATTCCTATATTTTAAGTTCTAATTATTTCATCTGAAAGAGCTACTCAAAATATGTCATTTAAATGGGTTTCTTTGTCTCTAGCGGTATTTACACACATTTTATTTCAGTTTTGATTTTGAATCTTCCCCATGGAAATTTCAAAAAAGTTTGCATTTATATTGGTATGGAAGGATCCCGGGTGGAACCCGAGTCTGGCCGTGCATTTTTCTCTCTCCTGTTAAACTAGTGACGGGGACTTTGACATATGTACAATGCACTTCTTTAACACTATTCCACCCTTCTTTCACGTCCTTATTTTTACCATCAATGCCAATCAAAACTCGAGTTTCTTTTCACCCTTCCATTGAAGCTTAAGTATTCTAAAATGAATGGGGTGGGTGACAAGGGCATCAGTTTGTATTAAGAAGAAAGAAGCAAAAAAATTAAGTGCATTTGCTGGGGATCGAACCTGTGACCTCAAACTTTCTAGTCGAACACTTTACCACTAAAATGTTAAAGGGAATTCCCTCTAGCCGAAGCTGCGTAAAGAAAATTTGACTCTATGTTCAATGTATATCCTTTACAGTCTACAACCGGTTTATAATCACCCCATGCAATCTAACCAATCTCACCTACAACAGTTTACAACCAGGTAAAACACTACAACCCAAACACAGGTTTTTTCAGTAATATGACAATTTTCACTCATGTTTATGTTGTCATAGCAACAAACAAGATTTTTTTGACTTTTGATTTTAGTTGTCATGGTTACTCCTAATAAACCTTTGTGAAAAAAATTGGTCCTATGTTGATAATTATGCAATAACTGAAGAACATAAGACATTCAGGATAAAATTGTTTGGATACTGAAGAATTATTTTCTTGCTAGCTTGATATTTTGCCTGAGGAGATTCCTTTAAATGTTACTGTGCTTGAGTTCCAAGGAGAAATTTAAGCCTATTGGTTAACACATGTAGGTCATTTAATGTCAATTCCACTTGTCTTTTATTTTTACTTGGAATTTGACGATTTCTCACAAAATTTCTTAAGGTAAAGCGTACCACAGCATTGGTTATAATGGCACAGAAGAGTTCCACTTATAAAGTTTTATGACTTTGAGTATTCTCCCTTTTATATATTCCTAAATATTTCTAAATTCCTTTCTTGCTTGCGTTCATCCATTACAGGTTTCTAATTTTATTTTTATTTTCGAACATTCAAATTTCAAATAATGGCAATTCTGTGAATGCATGGAAACGTGATTTTAATGGAACCTTTCTTTCGAAAAGGTTATCACGACATTTAAGATATGTGATTAATATTATATAATTGTACTCCTCTCAGATGGTGTACTGGAGTAATCGGGAGGGACCCAGCGCCATTTACAGGTCTAACCTGCAGGGACAGAATAAAGAAGAGTTCCTCAAGGAAAAAGACGGCCTGGGTTATGTTGACGGTAAGATTGATATCTGTTTACCCCCCAACAAGTTCCGAGCACTTTACTGGTTGTCCTCTGGGACGAAATTGATGTTGTTCTAGATTTAAATTTACGTCATGACGTTGAATCGGAAAAGGTTAATTGCAGATTGTCTTCAGAAGTTCAGCAAGGTGGTGTTGAGTGCTCGTCACAATGTTCTGCAGTAATTTAATAGATCCGTGTCTTGCTGTAAACACCAAACTAGTGCATGATCCTTACCTAGCTGTGTTGTAGTGGCCCATTGTCGATGTTAGACCTCTAAATGTGTTAGACCTATACCTAACAGGTGTGGTATTGAGTTTTTTGTAAAACCCTTAGACCTTGAAATTGTGTTATGCAATTATCATTCTTAGACTTTCTAGACTGCAGGTGTCTGACCTCTGACCTAGGTGTGGTGTATTTGACTGTAGACCTAGAACGGTGATGTTTGACTTTTACTGGGAGTGTTAATAAACATATTAGTTAATTTATAATCTAAATCCTCAACCGCGCTCTAGGGTGAGACCATTTCAAGATTAGTGATCAAGAATTCTCTCAAGACCCCAGACCTCAGGCGTAAGACTTTAAGTATAATGATTAATACATTCAGTCATATATAGGTATATACCTATAGGTAGCTAGGTTGAAGATTGGTTTAATTCTTTCCAAGTGTGTACAATTTAGAATAGAACTGAGGCTATGCAGACGTCCTGACTGAATTCTGCACCTGAGGGGTAGAATGTCAATATCCCACATACGTAATGAATGACTTTATTTCTTTAATATTTTAACCAATTTTTTTGCTAAAATATGACAAAGATAATGCTAATGCAACACTATATATAGCAAACTTTTTAAACAACATAAACAAAATCTAAGGTCATATTTGAAAAGAGCAGAAAAAACAGTACACATTATGTATATTTCAAATTTATAGATCCATGCAAGGCTTTCTGTTCAAGCTTAATTGTGCAAGAACATTTATAGCATTGTTGACTTCTTGTTTCAATTGAGGTTTTTGTTTGTAGAGTTTCAGACCAGCTAGGTATGGTATATATAATTGTCCATTGTAGACCCTGGAATTCAGATGTCAAATTTTAACTTCGGTTAGCATAATTTGTCTGAAAATAATAAAAGATTTCAATTAACTCATTAACCCCTGAAATTTTATAATGAACTTTTCCAACCTTAGAATTGGTAGAGTTCAAATGTGTCTTCAGGGGTGAATGAGTTAAGGGGCTGGATTTTCAGGATGCCCGTACCACTGCCAAAAACTGTAACTAAGTTTTAAATGAAACTGTTTTTTCCCGGCATGACTGTAGCTTTGATAAAACCATTTCTGAAAGGAAAAAATACCTTGCAGGATTTTTATGAAAAATAAAACAATGCATAATCAAAAAGAGTGCTGTGAGAGTAAAAAAAAATCCTTGGGGCAAGACCAGGAGTTGAACACTTGACTTCCAATGGTTATATGTTATCAATGTAACCGAGTGAGTTATTCAGTTGACAGAAGTGTACAAGCCCAAATGTGCTACAGTTATATCCAAACGAAAGTCAATAGAGGTTACTGTAAAATCATAAATTTTCGTGGGACAATAAATTTCGTTTATCTCGTGGATAACAAAAGTCCACGAAAATTAAATCCCCACGAAAACATAAATTTGGTATGATATATTAGATAGGGGGAAATCAGAAATCATTGAAATATAATGTCCTTGAAACAGGCTAGTTAGTATATGAAAACCACGAAATTTTAACCCCACGAAAATAAATGATTCGACAGTATAAGATTAATGGCAGTGCAACGCGACAGGGATCCTCAAGTTGGATTTAGCATAGTCTAGTACATGTAGATCTCACACCTCTGGTATGACCTTACTTATCTGTGTACAAATCACATCATCCTGGCCTAGATGTTCATTGACACCTTAAATTTACTTCAGTCTTGTGTGACGGGACCATTGATTGGATTAAATGAGTAGCTAATCAGTATTGATGCGTCCCTTGGATGCGCGACTTTGGAAACAATCCAATATAAGTCTGCACTATTGAAATTCCACATGCCGAGGAATGTGATGCAATAATTGAACTTTAATGACTACAAATATTTCAGTGTATTCTTTCTGCTGGGAAAAAAGTCCAGAATTTCAATCTGTATTAGCATATAAGTTAAATATATTAGATAAACAAAAGCTAAACCAATTAAGGACTGTAGAAGTTAAAGCTTGAGAAAGTTCACTTTACCTTCGGAAACCCTTTAGTTTTAAATATGTAAAGTTACCGATACACGCATACCTGTAATTTGTACATAACTTCTACCTAAATATGATTTACAGTAGATCAACATTATGCAAACCATGTTGTGCAAATCTATGTTTTCTTGAGTGTATATGAGACCTAGCTAATGATTCATTGATTGTCCATTATAACCACTACTTATGTTTTTTTCCAGAAAGGTAGACTATATACAGCAAAAAGAGACAATTCATATCCGTGTTCCTTGAAATGCCCAGGACTCCAGAGCTTGACCTCGAACACATTTATGCAATAATCAACCTATTATTTAAGCTTAACATTGATTGGAATTATCTTCATCTTATGTGACTTTGATATCGTACCAGGGATAGATTGTTCAAAATACGACCATGATGACCCTGCATGAATGTAATGACCTACTTAATATATATAGTGACCTTGATTCTCTTTGTAACTCTGTGCCCTAAATGACCTTGACCTTGGATGGAATATTCTACTTGTATGACTTTGACTCTGTATAGAAATTCTACACATATGACCTTGACCCCGTATGGAATGTTCTGTCCTTTATATGGGATATTCTACTTGTACGACCTTGACCCTGTACTTGATTGATTGATTGATTGATTGGTTTTACCTCTGCTTCACTACCGAGTAGTTCGGTTATCCAGCAGACGACTATAACCCTGTACAGATTTTTTTGTCCTTTATATGAGCTTGACCTTGTATGAAATATTCTATCTTTATGACCTTGACCTTGTATGGAATTTTTTACTCATATGATCTTGAACCTGTGCAGAATATTCTACTCCTATAACCTTGACCCTGTATAGAATATTCCATCCATATGGCCTTGACCCTGTATGGAATGTTCTGTCCATTATATGACCTCGACCCTGTATGGAATGTTTCACTCATTTTATGACCTTGACCTAATTGTACTCTAACCAATTGTGTTATAGGTCTTGCCCTGGATTGGATTGGTCAGTACCTGTATTTCACCAACAGCGGTCAATCTCAGACATTCGCAGGAAGTGTCTTCCCCTGGCATCGCGTAGAGATGGTCAGCCTTGATGGACGAGTAAGGCGCACTGTGGTCACAGATGTGCAACAGCCAAGGAAGATTGCCATTGACCATCATAAAGGGTAAATATGTCGGGTCATTCCGAAGCATCTCCAAGGTTGAATTATATAATGCTAGGCGATTTGACCCAGGGATTAATGCAGGAATAGAGAGGTATTCCATACGGGAAAATATGCTCTTGATCTGTAGCTATGGTACATGACCCGCCGGCGGGGAGGGTGGCCACCGGCTAGGTGAAAGGGGGAGAGTATGAAAGGGGGCATGGATGACATCTTAAATTTTTGTACTTTCTTCATTATACAAATGTAGGTGCTTCAAATTGACCACTGCATATGCATTAGAATTACGTGTTTGTGTGCCTGTTATGATATTGTTTACCGTAAATAATGTTGTAAAATATCGGCAGTGACAATATGAACACAAAGAAAATCATTCAGTTGTCGAACTGGCGAAAAATAAAAACAAAATAGAACCAGGTCAGATGTTTGTGTGGTAGTATATTTGTATTTCAGTTACAAGTAGGGGAATTTTGAACTGAAACGGGGAGAAAATAAATCCGAAATAGGGGAAAATAATGCTGAATTGGAGAGGGGAACTGGCCCATTATAAATTGGCCATAAAAAAGGCCGGTATATATCCATGTTTGTCGAATTATTGGTTGAAACCATCACCATCAATCAGTGGTTTAACCATTAAAAACTGCTGCTGAAAATGCTCCTATTGCTTTATAACGGAACTTTAAGGCATGTGCCCACGATCCAGAGCCTTGGTTAAGGGCTCAGAGTCAGAATGATGTGGATGATCAGCTTATACACCAATGGAGAACCGTCAACATTTTCCGTACATATAAAAATATTAAAAAAGTATTTTCAAATTCTCATTTACAGAATTCAAATTTGTAAGTTGTTCCCATTTTGACATATAGCTATATAAAGACTTGCTAAAACGAAACTAGACAGCTCCGTAAATGATCATAATTATTAAGCCACACATATAAAGATATGAAATTTTTGTAAAGACAATGATTAAACAATAAGAAATAAAACCAGAAATGTATTATTGTAACAGAGGTCATATGTTTATATTCATCGGTAGGAAGCGGCTAGTACTTTACCAGGGTGACATACTCCCCCTCCAGGAAAGAACTCATCCAGACTTTTCCAGGGGTCATAGCGATTCCTTTGCAAATACCGCTGAGTATTTTGTCAAATTTCCCGGGTCTCTATACGTGGACGCCAATGTAACAGAGGTCATTGTTTTTTCAATGCCTCCGCTAGGAGTCGAACCCGAGACCTCTGGCTTACTAGTCTTACGCTCTACTGAATGAGCTAAAGCCAAGTCAGTAATTAGAAGCGGCTAGTATTTTACCAGGGTGACATTATTAGGAGATAAATGTGAAGGCAAATGTTGAAACTACCTATTGTACAATTTTCCCACCATGGAAGAAACATGAAGGTCTCATTCCAATGATGAATTCCCCAGAAATACCATAATTTATAATTGCTTTATTTTTAAAACTCTGGGATTGATCTCATCAGAGCAAGTACCTTCATTGGGAAAACTAAAATATCATATTGCCTTAAGTCTTTAACCTAAGGAATCCATGTACATTTTTAACTTGCCTTGATTTGAAATCTTCAATATGAAAAATAGCTCATAAAACTTTTCTTAAAAGGATTGATTTTTGTTCTGTTAGATTTGTCATTTGCACAACACTTAAATCAACTGACAATCAGAATTAAAAATCTGGATGTAAAATGACCCAAACTGAGAAGAAATTTACTGTGTCTGGTCATCATAAATCTTTGTACGGGGACGGCAGCCTGTCGCTCCCCACCAGTTGTCGTGGTAACAGTGGTAACAGTACCCTACTCCGTCACAGGCCGCAATTAGGCGCCGATGATTTAGTCATATTTCATAGACATTTTTCAATTTTTAATTGTCCCTACAAAATTTAATCCATTGGAAGATTCGTCAGAATAAATACAATCAGTTGTCTGTTTCATTTGCATTGTAATCACAGCTTTTGGCAATCGAGTTTGACTCATCTGGAGGACTAATCAATCTACAATTCATGTAAAAAAAAAAAAGCTGAAAAATGTCGTCAAATCAAACAAAGAAAATAAAAATTGATTGTGCCAATTTACGGCACAAGATCGCTAATCTCCATGCGAGGCCAAAGAGGATTAAACACACCAGCAAATCCTTTAATTACCTCAATTGATTTTTTTAACTTTAAATGCACAGAAGCTGTATTAAAACATATTAAGTTGACACATTTTTTTGTAAATATTTTAAATCTTATGTCAACCACGTGAAAAACGACTTTTGACTCAATTTGTTTTGAAATCTAAATTAACTTTGTCACCGTCCCTTTCCCTCACAAAACCAACTTCGAGACTGAGCTCAATTACTTATAAAATCTAAATTAAAATTAACCTTTTCACCAAGCCGTACGACTCCTACCAAAAAATTATCATAAAGATGGCGGCTTCACTGTCAGACATGTTTATTTTCTTTTAATTTAAATAACATTAACCTTGCAACGGTCTTCTAATAACTGATATTTTAAACTTAATGTTGCTTTGGTATTTTATTTACATCCTAAGTTATGCAAACAAATATTATCTAAAACCAATTCCTGTATACAACGATTTTCATCCCGACAGGGCAAAAAAGGATTTGGGTAGGGGAGCGGGGCTTTGGTAGTGATATTTTAATACTTAGAAGGGGATGTATACAATTTCTCTCTGTTGAGGAATACACCGGTGGCCCAGTGTTACATTTTTTCCCTAATTTATGAATAATGAGGTGTAGAACAAAAATTCACATTTTTACAGTAAATCTAAGTATCTTGAGGTTTCTCTTGTGAAACCAATTTCTATTATAAATACTTACCACAGTCATTATAATGCATATTCCAACCTTACTTGGCTCTTTACATACGTAAATAAAGAATTTTTCCCCCCATGGGGAACCCCTGGGAAACCCACCAATCAGACGGCAGTATTCACGCACGTGATTTAAGACACGAAGCCATGCTTCCCACTTCATAATTCCAAAGCCCAAAAAAGTGAGAGCCAAGGAGACAAGGGGAGGCTGGGAGGGAACTCACCTAATGACTGTGGTAAGTATTTATAATAGAAATTGGTTTCACAAGAGAAACCTCAATTCTATTTCAAAATACGTTACCACAGTCATTATAATGCGAATTCGACTTACCGCAGTGGTGTCTCCGTGGAGCGATGAAGGGTTCCAACAATAGGACCCATACCCCCGGAGGAAAAATTCAAAATACCCTTTCCTTTTGTGACACAAAGCCTGATTACGACCAGCGTTCCGGATCACGCGGAGAAGACATAATGAGGCTTATGCAAAAGAAGAGGGAGGACAGACAACGGACTGGGCAGCCACAAGAGGGCCCAAAGAATACAATCCGTCAGACTGTCCCGACAAAGATCGGAGATAGAACTCCGTAAACGTAGAATGACCCCTCCAAACAGCAGCTGTCATGACCTCAGCGTAAGAAGAACCATTAAATAAGGCCCACGAAGTAGCTAAAGCGCGAACCTCATGAGCCCTAACCCCTGACACCCGCAAGGACTGATCCCCTGCCGACTCATACGCAGCTCGAACAGTCTGAACAATCCAGCGTGAGATGGTCGCTGCAGAGATATCAGAGCGACCGGGCTGGAGAGACTGGAACAGCCGAGACGAGTGTCCCGCCCCCCCCTCTGTTCTGGCCAAGTAGTAACGCAAGGCCCGAACTGGGCAGAGCAGGCGATCAGGACAATCCCCATCCAGAGTTGAAGCCAAAGAAGGGATAACCACAAGCCCTGGGGTGAAACCGGGAACCTGGTTCTTAGCTAAAAAGGAGGGATCAGTGGTCACCGAGACCGAAGAATGGCCAGCCGAAAAACGAAGGCAAGAAGAAGATCTGCTGAAAGCATGAATCTCGCTTCTGCGGCGACCGGAAGCAAAGGCTATCAAGAACACAGTCTTGAAAGTAAGAAACTTCCGATCTGTCGACTGGAGGGGCTCGAATGGCGCCCTTAACAAGGAATCTAGCACAAGTGCTAAATTCCACCTAGGGACCAATTGCCGTGAACGAGGCTTCTCAATGTAGAAGCCCCTAATGAGAGCCGACAATGAAGCGTCCGAGCCCACTGACTTGCTACCATAGAAAGCCAGCACACTAGCAATGGCTGAACGATAGCCTGCAATAGTTCCCGGAGACAGACCTTTGTCCCTGAACAGAGACAAAAGAAAGTCAGCTACAACGGGAACAGAGGCAGAGACTGGATCAATCGACCGTCCGACACACCAATCACCGAATGCGGACCATCGAGATTGGTAGACGGCGGAAGACGAAGGTCTAAGTGATCCTGCGATGCGAGTTGCAACTTCTCGAGAAAAGCCCGTCTGAGTGAGCCTTCCCGAGATAGCATCCAACCGTGAAGGTGGAGCCGTTCCGGTCCCGAGTAGAACTGTCGGGACCTCGGTTGAGACAGCAGATCCCACAGGGGTGGGATGCTGCGTGGGAAGTCCACCGACAGCCGAAGCAACAGAGGAAACCAAGGTTGTCGAGGCCAGAGCGGTGCAACCAGCAACACAGTACAAGGGTGTAGAAGGATCTTTTCCAACACCCTGCCCACCAGATTGAAGGGAGGAAACGCATACGCGTACATTCCCGACCAGTCCTGGGATAGAGCATCCACCGCCATGGCCATAGGGTCTGGAACCGGAGACACAAATGTAGGGAGTCGAAAGTTCAGGGCCGTGGCGAACAGATCCACATGGGGTCTGTCCCAAACCAGGCAAAGAGACCGGAACACCGAACGCTTGAGGGTCCATTCGGTGAGAACCGGGCTCCGAGACCGAGACAGAGTGTCGGCCAGAACATTCAGACGACCTGGAAGGTGCCTCACCGTGAGATCGAGACTGATCTCCTGACACAGCAACAGGACCTGGGTGGATAAAGCACACAGAGCCGGGGAACGGGTGCCCCCCTGGCGCTGCAGATAAGCCACCACAGTGGAGTTGTCTGTAGCCAGACAAATGG